AGCGTAGAGTTCTGCGCATGCGCACACAGTCGCCCCCTGATCCGTGTGCGCGCATGTACATCTAAACGTTGAGTGCAACGCAAATACCAGTGCGATATTCCGGGGATAGCCTACTTTTTTGTTTCGTACAGACTGGGTAAATCTCATTGTAACGAGGACCTGCCGGGACCTACCAAGTCCCGAGACTTAGAATGGCGAACCACATAAGGCCCGAATATTTTAGGCGTGATATTGAACCGAACGACAGCAAAGCTTTCTACGACCAATGTTAGATGGCGATGGCGGAGCTCAAACCTCAGACCACAGGGACGAAAGCACGCCGGTGACAGCGACTATGCCGCTGCGCGTGGTTGACAGTCAGTCAATCAGAGAACGGTTTAAACTACACAGTAATATACGCTATTGATCTATAATTTTCAAACACTGATTGTGCCTGCAGTGTGGGAACTGAAAATTCAACTTGGGCCGTTTGATAATCTGACTATTCTGGTGCACGATAGCTCCCAATGCATCTGTATATTTCATTTGGGGCGAAAGGCCGCACGCTTAAATCGGTAATTTTGTTGAGAATTTTATGGTGTTCAACTTATACCAATCTTCAAAGTCTTGGAATGTTTTATACCGTTTATTGTACAGAGTAGTTCAGGTTTCTTTGAATTGTATTTTGGATGTGGACAGGTTAAACTTATGCGCGTGAGAGTTTGTCGGCAGTGTGAACGTTGAAAACAGCTGTTATTATTTCCTGATTAAAAGAATTCCATCGTTCTTTTTTTTCTGTCATCAATGCATTTTTCCTTTTCCGTTTTCAGATACCCCTCGTTGCCTTGTATTTTACACGGATTCAAAAAAGTCACTTACTATTTGACCTGTCACCTTTCTTTCTTTCTTTTTTAACATTGTGATCAATAAGATTGATATAGATAATTTCATCGACAGCATTCTTTTGAATTTTTTATTTAAACAACCTCGTGGATGGCTTGTTTGTCGTGGATTAACAAAACAAATAAACAAACGGAACTATTTTGCACCGAGACAATGTATTCCCCCGAAAATATCTTCCAAATAATGCGGATATTCGTTTGTCTTCTATCCCAAACGGTTTCCCACGTGTCTGTTCACGATCAAATCAGAATTACGCGGTATCAGACTCTGCCCTATCTGGAAAGCAGTTGACGAGTTGTTGAATCCAGTGAAGCGGTATTTCTTTACGCGATGTGTAGTTGTGTAGTTACGCCCCTGGTTGGTGTGTGTTATGCGTGGTCAAACTGTTTGCAACGGTTGATGTATCGATTAGGTAGGTAGGTGGGGGGAGGGCTACTCGTGAGTGAGATACTAGTCTATAATTCCGGTTGCTCACGCGTAACCAGAGCATGTCGAACCAGCTCCAGAATCAACTCTCTGTTTGTCGATCGACTTTCAGCAGGGGATGAAGATCGCTACGGGGATGAGTTTCGTAACACCAGCAAGACAAAATAGTCATTTCGACCGTATTTTTCTTCATACACTTACATGACTCTTTTTGTGTGAACTTCTGAACCTTCATTTCTTACGAATTTTCCTAAATTGGAGTAGTTTGTTTTTTCTCCAAATTCAATTCCCTTAGGTCAAGCGAGTATTCCGCCTACGGGTACTAACGTCGTTCACCTCCCCCCCCCCCAGTTAGATCCAAATGGTTATTTTGACCTTGTTTTATACTTGACCGTATTATTCCCTGTTGTTGTGTTCGTTGCTAATGTAGACCGATCACCACTGTGACGGGGTTTGGTCGAAACCAGTGCAGACATTCTAATAAGCCATGACGTTTGTCGCTGACTGAGCATATCACTTGATGTTGTAGTGAGACGATTTACGAACTGAGAGCGCATCGCTCAAACTGTGCGCAGTTGGTTGACCTATTCGCATACAGCCAGTGTAGATAGAAACCAGAAACGACCAAGGATAGGTGAGTCAAATTTGTGCGTCGGCAACGAACATTTATTTTCACAGTTTCCTCAATCCAAGATATGTGAGGTAGGTCAGTTGTGCGCACGGTTGCTTTGGCCCTTTTTATCCACGAATCCATGTTTCTAAAAGTGACGGGTTCACGACCGCTCTGATAGAGATGAGGGCCTTGCAAAAGATATAAAACAGAGCTCACCTTTTCATGTAGCTGCCAAACAAGCCGCATAAATAGGGCATGAACTTTTGGATTTTAAGTAGGCAACAAGACACGTATGCTGTCATACCTTGTGAAGGTGAGCCATGCAATAAACGGCCGTAGTTCGACGGCTTTAGCCCAAAAATAATAAAACATTCCCGCGGATAATTTTGTTCTCACTAACCGCAGATTAGCAAGCAGGTTGAACGAACAAAGAACGGCTACGGCGGGAACCGTTCGAACCAAGAACACCGGTCTTCTGCGAAGGAAGAG